AATGTAGGTATATATCCTGGATATCCATAGAGTATACTATCCATATCCATTGGATGTTCATTTTCCGTGTGGCCCACACGGTGTGGAGTTGCAATCAGGTTGGGTAAAATAAAATGTATCTTGTATCTAAGGATCTAGATACTAAAGTAGATCCTGATTTTTTTAAGTATCTCGATACGTATCTAGGTACATAAAATGTATCTAGATCCAGTATCTAGATACATGTATCTCGATACATTACATCACTGCCCCTTACCTCTCGTCGTCAATAGCAACCAGCTTTTCACGGTAAATTCGACTTACCTGCTATAAAACAATGTAACATAGCCTAGTTACCATAGTGGGAGCAGATAACAGCCCTGGAATCTGACAATTTTTCATTTGTAGAAAAAATATTTGTCTCAAGCGTGCCGAAAGTTGCTACTTTCCTCACTGTCGAGCGTGCAAAAAGTAAGCCAAGTCAGATAACAGAACCTGGTTCATTGTAGACCTTAAAACATTTTAGAACAGTTTAATTTTGATAATTCGTTGCGCATTTTTGTTCACAATTTAGTGGGACTCCAAGTATAACTCGCAGCAGAGCAGCAACTGGAAATAAGACCTGAAGGTGGTACATGAGATTGTACAGAAACGTCGTCAGACATACGGTTCTTTTAAGAACTAAAAACCGATAACACGGAGCAGATCCCGAAAAAACACTAATACACAGGGCCGGATTAGGAGTTTTAGGGCCCTGGGGCCGACATTTGGTGGGGGCCCTCAATATTTTAAAAAATTTTGACACTTGGGAAATTAAAACTCGGTAAATTTTTAAGCTAGATGAACTTTATGTGATTTTTTATTATCCTTGAATCATTTAGCGTTTTTAAGCTATAAATAAAAAACTCATTTTTTTTAAACGAAACACCCTGTATCTCGATAATGAAGCATTTTCGGACACGTGTTTATAAGAACCTTTTTTCATATTTTGATGAGAGAAATTTCGCCTGGGCTTTTGTCACCACAAGTCTAAATCACCCTGTATATTTGGAATAATACGAACATAACCTTATATACATTTTACCCAAGTCTGAATAAATTATAAATTCGTATGCAAAACTATAAAAACGTAGAAAGTAGAATAGAATTGTGAATGAAAGTGTTTTTATATACTTTATATTTTATATATTTTGAATAATACGAATACGAATACATTTTAATCAAGTAAAATATAAATTGATCTATGTTTTGTTTGTATTTTTAATACATACCGCAAACTGAAAAAAGTGCATCAAAGATCGTATTATTTGTCTGTTTTTCATACAAAATCAAACAATAAAACAATCTTTTGAACAAAGAAATGCACAAAACAGTATTTTGAAAACACCAGAAAATATTCCACAACACTCCAATGTACCAATAAAAATCTGGGACAAAAACTAACTTTAATATTAGATTATAAATAATTGACTTTTTGCCTGTATTTACAAAAACGTTACAACAAGCACTAAACGAGCAACTGCTTAAAATTGTTATGAGTCATAACTTATGACTATAGACTTTATAAAACGTCTTAGCGCGACAAAACTTTGAGTATGATAATTTACATTCTGATTTGCAAGCGGATAAGCGATAAAAAATCTGCGAAAAATTAGAGTTAGGTCTACGAAAAATTAATTGAAAATAAGAGGATTCTCGCGGTATAACCAATTTTTTTCATATTTGTTTCATTAAAAAGCTACATATTGCATTGGTGGGGGCCCCTAAATGGTGGGGGCCCTAGGGCCGTGGCCCCGCTGGCCCCGTGCTAAATCCGGCCCTGCTAATACATATATGTATAAATCTACATTAAAACAAAATTGCATCGGGAGTTTTCTGAAATATGCCAATTATATACCAAATTTATTATTAATGTTCGATATACCTACACCGTATCTGCTCACCATTCTCCGTTATTATTGGAAGTCGGTAAAATTAAATAATAATTTCATCAATTATTGATGAAATTTTTTCTTTTCATTTAAATGGTGGAAACAGAAAAACAATTAAACGTCGGGTTTTCGAAATATTTTACTAAAATAACATTTTTTTAAATGTGTATATTTTTACATTTTAAAGACAATTTAATTTGGAACAAAAAATTATTATTGCGTAGCCACCCTTAACTTAAAAATAACGTATTAATAAACACTTGAACTTTCTGATTATTATTATTAAGTTTAGGGTTGTTATTCGATAAAATATCGACAAAATATGTAAAAATATACAGGGTGTTCCTATAAAGAAAATTTGTGAATATTTGGGAAACCCGACGTTTAATTATTTTTCTATTTTTATTTTATTCAGAAGAAACAATTCCACCAATTTGCTAATTTAACTGACTTTGTAGCTCCAATAATAACGAAGTTGGCAATGATAAATAGATAACTTATGACATCCTGTATAATATACAAAAAATATTACTAAATAATATTTACATATTATGTAAACATTTATTTCAAATATTTTTTTTGCAAAATTTTAAAATCTTGTTTTATCCGCCCAAAGTCCTACATGACGTCAGTGCTTTAAATAAAATATGTTTTAAGAATCTTATTTTAAGTTATTTGGTGATATTTAATAATTTATTTAATATTACATTATCCTAAACAAATAAGATAATTTTTTAATTAATAAAGGTCATTGTACTTTTATTTATTATGTGACATACAAATTGTGTACAATTTAATTATAAAAATTATTCAGATAATCTATTTAGTACCATTCCTATAAATAACTAAAATTCCTTAACCTTAAAGAATCGCTTTCATACAATTTAAAGTTATAATATATTAAATAAAAATAATGATACATTTAATTACCCATATAAAATAGCAATTTATAGGTATTTGGTTAAAAATGCTTCATTCAATTTCATTCAATTAGATGTTCTACCACTCAGGGAACGATTGTTTTAATAAAATATAAATCCACTAAATTAATGGCATGATTAATCAATTGCTATTTAATAACATACAAAAATTAAAATAATAATGTTTATATTTCTTTATATTCCTATAAGAAAATCGCGTTCTTAAATTACCCTTCTTATCTTACCGTAAAATGTTTACATTAGCTAATTTTTCTTTTAAATTGTCATCTACTCAACCGTTGCGACGAAATGTGGAAATTATATTTTTACAGATACTATTAGCAAAGAACAGGAATAGTAGTAACATTCAAAGCAGTGACGGATTCAGGAGGGGTGTTTAGAGGACCCCTCCAAAATTAAATAAATTAAAAATGTAGCTAATAGATGCTACTTACTCATTTAATAAACATACAAAATATTAATATAATGTACAAGCGGTCCCAAACTAAATTTTTTAAATGTTTTGTCCCGAAGTTTTTTTTTATTTACTTAATAATTTTATTTACTTAATAATATGACATCTAAAATTTAGAGGTCGCCCTAGGCGACTCGCCTATAATTAAACGTAGGTGGCAAAATCAAAAACATCAAAATCAAAAACATCAAACAATAAAATAAAAAACTACGACATAAGAAATGTGTTTGAGGGCTCACAAAACTATTTTAGATTATTTTGCGACTAAGCAAAGAGTATAATGTATTTTGGAATAAGATTGATACCCCGATAAGCAGTGGCGGCTGGTGGATTTTGGGTATACTGATATCTCAATTATTAGATATGGGACCCACACCAAATTTATTTGAGTTTATATATAAACTCGTTATAACGACATTAAATAAACAAGTTCTGCGCAAGCAGAATTTAATTTGAAGTTTGCGAAAAAAAGATAACTTTTTGCTCGGCCGTACCCGGCGCCCCTAATAAATATAATATAAATTTAATTGGTGCAATTTTTTATTTACCATAGTTTATCAACAAATTTCAAATTTTATTTTTAAAAATCCAAATTATATGTACAGATTTTATACCATTTTAAATTTTTAATATTTCTTTTCAAAGAAATAATAAAAATTTAAAATGATATAAAATCTGTATGATTTGGATTTTTTAAATAAAATTTGAAGAGCTGATTCTAATGAAAATGCTGCCGAAAGTTTACTTAAGCTCTATAGAGCATATATGCCATCATTTTAGACATGCTCACCTTTAAGAACTTTTCAAGTAGTACTTGCTGTCGTTTCAAGTACAATGCCTATAATGAACTATTTAACTTTACATTTCTATATTTATTTTTCTGGCTCCGCCCCTGATTCAAACCAACGCATTTCTACAAAACATTAAAAAAGTTATTTAAAAGTTTAAAATTGAAACATTTGAGTTTTATTGCTAAATTAAATCATTTTTAGATAATAAAAAGTATTTGTCGTATAAAAAGCACTCGCTTGCAAGCTTGCTCGTGCCTAAATTAAATTCGTGTCTAAAATGGATTTTATCAAACTTGATACATAATATACCAGGGTTCGAAAAAATCATGATTTAAAAAAAATAAAAAAATCAATGGTTTTTATTTAAAATGATTTATTTAAAATGATTTTTTGGATTTTTTTAATTTTTATTACGATATTCTAAGCTTTTTTTAATAAAGTGAACTGGGTATTAAAAAAAAATACTAAAAATAACTTGACTATAATAATATTATATTGGCACTACTTTATAAACTATTAAACCTCCGTCCGCAACTGTGATAATATATTTTTTTTTAATACCTAGTTCACTTTATTTTTTTTTAATACCTAGTTCACTTTATTAAAAATATATTATATTTTTTGTATATTCCTTTATTATTTTATTTAACAAAATAAGCAGTTTTTCTATGCATATGAATTTATTTAAATAGTGTCAAGATATTATTGTGCTTTAGTTTAAGATCTTTTAAGTGTTTTTTTAGATTTTGGAAACTTTTTTTTAAAACTGATTTAAATCATTGATTAAAATAAAAAAATCACTTGATTTAAATCGTTGATTTTAATCAGGCGAACCCTGTAATATACTATTAAAAAGTGTGATTTTAACAAAAAAAATTAATACACAAATGAGGAAGACCAAATTGGGCAATATTGGGGGTTATTCAAATTAAATAATAGGCATTACATAAAAAACATTCCACTTTTATTTTTATAAATTTAACATAAATGCCTATTATAGTATATTTATAACCTCAATCTAAAATGATAGCTTTAATTTAAAATATGAATTGAATAAATTTACAAAAATTCTTTTTTTACAAATATATTCGCCATGTAGGTCTTAAAATAGGATAAATATTACTTATAAAGGTAAAGGTGGCGGTGTGGTAACATCTTTAATTTGACTAGTATGAATTTCATTGTAGGCTATTGTAAAAACACTTTTTTTCTGTGCCATGGATGGTTTAGTTAGAGCTATTCCCGAATCAACGTCCTCTTCCACTTTTTTTCCTGGCAAATAAGGCGCTTCGTATCTATACTCGGAGTGCTGCAACAGGGGATGATCAGGGCCGCCTGTAGATTTTTTAGAATCGACTTTTTTACGCGCACTTGATTCCGTATCTTCTAAAAGTCTCGAGCCAGATAGTTTGATTGTTTCCTTAACTTGATTGTTCTCTTTTACGGGATCCATATCGTTCATGTCGTATATTTTGTTCGGTTTTGTGGAGTTTTTAGATTTGTTTTTGTTGTTGTACCATTCCATGTATCGGGATGTTCTTTTAGTGTTTGTTTTGGGTTTTGTTTTTGTATTTGCAGATGTTTCGGTGCTATCTGTTTTACGCGATTCTCTTCCGATGATTGATTGTGGTAATCTTAGATCTGTTTCTGAGAGAAATTTTTGTTGATTTTTCATATTAGATTCTTCTCTATGACTTAAAGTTGATAGATGATATTCTCTATCTAATGATTCGGATCTAAACTGTTTTTTATCCTCATGATATTGATCCATATCTCTAGAATGCGATCTATCTCTTCTACAATCTCTAGATAAGGATCGATGATATTTTGCGGGATCAAGAAAATCATCTTTGTAATAATAGTATCGATCTTTTAAATCCACTCTTCTTGGATCTTTAACATTGATTCTGTGTCGATCATTTTTAAAATCCAACCTCCTTAAATCTTCGTAATCCATTCTGTGTCTATCGCTTCTTGGTGAGTGGTGGTAACTTCTTGTAGGTGATCGATAGTATCGATCGTGGTAATCCGAATCTCTATCGTCTGGATAATATTGATAGCTTTGCCTGGAAGTGCTTCGTCTTTGTCTGTATCTATCTAGTGATTCTGGACGGTTTTGGTGCCGGTTTTTTTCCATGTATTCTGTTTTATTTCTATCGGCTGATTCAGATCTTTTTGTTGCAGTATCGAATAATTGTTTCTTTCTTTTATTTTTTAGAGAGCGTTTACCTAAGTGTCTATCGACTGATATTGATCTGTTTTTAGTTATGGTTTTGGTTGCTAGTAATTTAGCGTATTTTGATTTTTTTTCTAAATCTATAGTTTTATCTGATCGGGGACTTATTTCTTCCACGCTGTCAGCTGACAATTTGCCTGTTTCCGACTCGGAATCATCGGAATCGCTTATGCTATCGTCACTACGTTTAAGCGTTTTAGATATTTCTTTTAAGACTTCTTTTCGTAAAGCTGACTTTGTAAGGCGTTTCGAGGTTGTACTAGACGAACGTTTTTGTCGCATTTCACTGGTTTTAGTCTGTTTAATTTTAGGTCTGCTAGATTTTAGTGTCTTTACTTTTTGCGGTTTTTCTATTATTTCCAATTCTGATTCTTCAAGAATTGGCGTTTTAATTTTGCGTCTGATGTGCGATTTACGATAATTTTTTGCTTTGATTCTCGATTTTATTATGGTAAGCTCATCGTCACTCCCATCACTGGCATCGTTATCCGACCTAACCTTTCTCGTCAAGAAATGCGGTTCCGTTTGTGTTCCAGCGTCAATATCAGTCTGTGTTCCAGCTGGAAGCGACTGCGTCTCCAACCTCAAATCCCTCTCTCTATCCAGAATTATTTGCCTTAACAAAGCGTTCTGCTGCCGAAACGAAGCTTCCAACAGCTCGTGTTCGTTCTGCAGCTTCGTGACGGCGTTGGGCAGCAGCACCTGCTGCCTGGCCGCCTCCGCCTGCTGCTGATCTATGAAGCGGCGCATCAGAATCTCTTTACCGCTATCGGCCAGGTAGGCATGGTCAGCGACCACGGCGACCGGTCTTTGAGCCTGCTGTTCCCCGCCGCGCGTAACCAGCCGGAGTATATCCGCATTGCCTGCAAACAATTTTAATTATTGACGCTTTTAAATAAATATACTACCATACTTAGTTATAGAGGCTTATTTATTGGAAAAGGAATAAATCTTGTCTACAATTAAATGCTAACAACGTTTTGCCAATATGGCAAAATGCTGTATTTCGAGGAATGTTTTATTTATGTGTTTGTATTTACCGTATTGTAATGGCAATAAATAGTTTGGGCAGTAGTTTTGCGCTTTTGTGTTATGTTACATTTATTGTATGTTTAAAAGCAAAACACTGCAGTTTTTTTAGATACTCCACACTGAAAAAAAACAATGGTTATCTTAATCAAATATATAGTAACTTTTACTAAATATTCTGATTAGTATAGGCACAGCCATATTTACTGTTATGTTAACCATGTTTATATTGTAACAGTTTTATTGTCACTTTAACTATATTTTTGTTGTTGCACAAAACAATAATTTATTTAGTTATAATAATCATATGCAAATACCTTATAACCCTCTATATGGTTAAATATACTATACGTATGATATGTATAAACTTTCTGTATAGTAAAAACTACAACGACATATTGTTAATAATGTGTGACAACATTATATTGTTATTGTAACCAGATAATCTTATAATTTTAACCATCTAGTGTAGTCAGGGCCGGATTAAGAGTTTTGAGGCCCTGGGGCCGACATTTGGTGGGGGCCCTCAATATTTCTAAAAAAAAATGCCACTTTAAAACTAATGGTAAATTTTTAAGCTAGAGGAACTTTACGTGATTTTTTATTATCCTTGAATCATTTATTATTTAATAAACCATATAAATTTTTAATAAAATCGGCCAAAGCGTTTTTAAGCTATAAATAAAAAACTAATTTTTTTAAACGAAAAACCCTGTATCTCGATAATGAAGCTTTTTCGGACACGTGTTTATAGGAACTTTTTTTCATATTTTGATGAATTTCCACTGAGCTTTTGTCACCACAAGTCTGAATCACCCTGTATATTTTGAATAATACGAACATAACCATCAGTGGCGTAGCTAGGCTCGAGGGGCCCCGTATTAAAAATCTGGTAGGGGCCCTTATACCGGAAAAGGTGCTGGCAAAAAATTTTTTAAGGTATAATTTTTTTGCATTTACCAATTTTTATAATTTAATAAATAATATATGTGGGTGAATCTCACGAAATATCCCCCGATGGTGTTACCCCGTGATATTTAATAAATCTAAATGAGTTTGACCTACTCCCCTACCGGGGGCCCTGTATCATTGATACGGCTGATACCGCGGTAGCTACGCCCCTGATAACCATATACATTTTACCCAAGTCTGAGAAATTATAAATTCGTATGCAAAACTATAAAAACGTAGATAGTAGAATAGAATTGTGAATGAAAGTGTTTGTATATACTTTATATTTTAAAAGTCGTATTATTTGTCTGTTTTTCATACAAAATCATCAATAATAAAACAATGTTTTGTCCAAAGAAAAGAACGAAACATTATTTCGGAAACACCGGAAAATATTCCACAACACTCCAATGTACCAATAAAAATCTGGGACAAAAACTAACTTTAATATTAGATTATAAGTAATTGACTGTTTGCCTGTATTTACGAAAAGCACTAAAGGAGCAATTGTTTTGAGTCATAACTTATGACTATAGACTACATAAAAACGTCTTCGCGCGCCAAAACTTTGAGTGTGATAGTTAGATCTACGAAAAATTAATTGAAAATTACAGAATTCGCGCGGTATAACCGACCCAATTTTTTATTTTTTCGATAATTTTTTTCATATTCGTTTCATTAAAAAGCTACATATTGCATTGGTGGGGGCCCCTAAATGGTGGGGGCCCTGGGGCCGTGGCCCCGCTGGCCCCGTCCTAAATCCGGCCATGAGTGTAGTACTAACAGTTTAGCCGTACATGATGGTTGTAATAGCCTAATCAAATATCTAACTTTACTAAATTTTTATAACAAAATGATTAGAGTACATATAACAAAACTAATTTTACGTATATTGTTATTACAACGGTTGTAATACAACCATAAGTTATAATTAAATGAACCATATTTTGCATAACAAATCTATATTGTTAGGGATTACAATATATTTTCTTAGAGTGCAAAACTCATTTCTGGCACTAATAACCTTGGTTAGTTAACTAAATGCTTTTCTGGAACAACATTGTATTACATGTAGCAAAATATCTGACTGCTTGCACGCCCTGAATTATTGCATGATACATTTCCTGGCAGAGTAGATTCTCATAATGAAGGCAGAAATGTGCCAATGAAATCGTGTGATCTGACGCCCTACGATTTTTTCGGTTGGTGTTTTTTAATTCTCGCGTCTACACCAACAATCCCACAACTCTTTAAATTCGTTGTTATTGAACTTGAGCAATGCGGTGAAATATTTTCCGATATAGGTATTGGTCAATAATAATTATTATCGCACTTTATGTCATCACGAATATTTTTTTTTAAATAAAATCAGGCGCTCTTGTTAAGATACCATTTACAAATGGGCGTAATTTCAGAATTTTAACTGGGTGGCAAGGTGTACCGGGGTCTGGGAGCACGTTGGTACATTTGGCGTTTTCAACTTCAAAAATATATAATCTTCCAAACATTTTTTTTTAATAATGATATTATTAGCTTTACTTTGCAAGAAAAATTAAAATCGCCCATGTAGCCGTTCTGGAGATATACACTTAAATGTATTTTTTTTATAAATTATTGCGCAACAGTAAGCTTAGTCTCTGTGTATTCTATTTCAATGGCTTCACGGATGGTCCGTTTGGTTCTGTATTCGATGCTAGCCAAGACCCTTGTTTTTCAAAATCCCCAGCAATAGCCAACTTATTCATGGAAGACGTACGAGCAATCAAAACGGCAACACTAAAATCAAAGTTATGGCTAGGGTACGTAGAAGACATATTTATTATCTGGATCCACGGAGAAGCGGAACTGAAGAAATCACCTTTTCAACGGAATTCCCAAAAAGATTAAGTTCACAATGGAAAACGAGAAATAACACCAATTACCTTTTCTGGATGTTTTCATAATCAAGAAAAATAATGGCAAATTAGGACACACGCCCAGTCTCACCACCATGGTGGCGGGTGCACCCGTCACAACTGCAGTCAGTCATTAAGACACTTGTCACGCGATCCGAAAGGCTGACGGATGATGACCACAAGAAACAAGAAGAACTGAAAATCCAACGACGCTACAAGTGTAGCCTACAACAAAACGGATTCTCCAAAACCATCATCCAAAAAGGCTCTTAGACCACGACGCCGGTTAATTACCACAGAAGACGAGAACAACAAACCAACTTCGAAGGCTTTCCTTCCCTACGTGAAAGGGACAACCGAGATAATAGGCAAAGTTCTCAAAAAACATAACATTGCGACAACATTTACCGAAAGATCGATGAAATACTTCCAAACCGTTTGGAAGTAGCTACCGCCGTATCAGCCGTATCAATGATACGGGGCCCCCGGCTAGGGGGGGCCCCCGATTGGCTTCGACATGCGTGAGAAAAAACATATTACCTACAAAAAATTGAACATGAAATTAAATAAATAAATATTATTATTATTTAATTGTTTAAACTTTGATTTATTAAATTAAACCAACAAGGCCGTGAACTCATACGAATTGTTTCTGCCCGCATGCGGACAACGAATAGCGGAAAGGTGCACCTTTCCGCTATTCGTTGTCTGCGGCGCTGTCTGCGCATATTGTTCTGTGCTCTGCGCCGCATACTGAGTCTGCTTTGGGGGTTATTATCATAGGTTATATTAATAGAAGATTAGAAATAATTATTAGCGTTACAATTATTTCAAATGACGCCTTTATTTTAAAATATAAACCTTTTAAAAGATGTTGTAGAACGGTAAATGTCTAAAACCAGAACAAATTTTAAAATTTTTCTGTACATAAAATGATATACATTAAGGTGGTCCATCTTTTGAGAATTTTTGAATTTTCTTGCTCTCAGTTGCTCATAGTGTTTAAAATAAATAAAACAAAATATTTTCCAAGTTTCAAGTCCCTATCTCAATATTAACCCTTGCCACGTTGCAGTGTAAGTTTCCTATATATATATATTTATAAATAACAAGGTTTTTGGCATTAAATAATTAAAAAATTTAAACTTGTCAGAATTTAACCTTGTAATAGTAGCTATTCCTAAGAATTTTTACAGATTTTTAGCTATAATTATTATATTATATTAGAGGTTCAGCTAGATAATTTTTTTAAATATAAGAAAATCATTTAAAAGCTACTATTATAACTTATTTTATTTTTTTAAACACTTACTGTGACCTGATTGAAAAATTAATTACCTATTCAAAAACCACGTTATCCAGATAGGAAAGGCATGGGTTGACATTAAGATATATAAGAATATAATCTCGCAGCGTAGAAAAAAATTTGAAACTTGACAGAATTGAACCTCATAATTTATAAGGTTCAATCACAGAATAAAAAACAACAGTTGTTCTTTATTCTGTGGTTCAATTCTGCCAAGTTTCAAATATTTTTGTACGCTGCGAGATTATTTTGCCAAATTTTTTCCAACATGAAAGATCATAATAGTATTAAATATTTGTATAAACGTTGCCATCTTAAAATATGCGTGGAAGATTAAAATTTCCGAATTCAAAAAAGGTCCTTATTAAAAAAAAATGAAGTTTTATACTTCCAGGGGCTTAAAGGGTTCGAAATAAATAAAAAATTCTTATCCTAATCCCATGCCGCAATGCAATGTTAGTTTCCTATCTGGATACCGTGGGTTTTGAATAGGTAATTAATTTTTTAAACAGTTCACAGTAAGTGTTTAAAAAAATTTAAACTTGACAGAATTTATCCTTATAATAGACTTTGGCCGAAATAAATAATTAATTATTCAATGCCAAAAACCCTATGTTATTTATATAGGAAACTTACACTGCAACGCGGCGCGAGTTAATATTGAGATAGGGACTTAAAACTAGGAAAATATTTTTTTTATTTATTTTGAACACTATGAGCCCCTGAGAGCAAGAAAATTCAAAAATTCTCAAAAGATGGACCACCCTACTATACATATATTATTTATTAAATGATATCCTAAACATTTTTTTTGTTTTCTCAAAATAGACTTTGGGCGTGATACCCAGACATTTTTTTGCCAGCCGCTTTTCCCGTATAAGGGCCCCTACCAGATTTTCGATACGGGGCCCCCTCGAGGCTAGCTACGCCACTGTCCAAACGCCAAACCAAAAATAGATTTGGGGGCACAAGGGGTGTACGAAATTATTTGTAAGAATTGTGACGGAAGCTACGTGGGACAGACCAATAGACGTATCAACGTTAGACGCGAAGAACAACGTAACGCAGTCTTGAAACAATAAAAAATATCTTCCTTAGCTGAACACGTCCGAAAAACTTCTCATGAAATTGACTTTGACAAAACAAGGGTCTTGGCACAGGACCAAGAAACCTCAACACAAGAGACGATACACAGAGACTACCAACTGCATGGAAACCAGCTTTTACAACCACTTAACGAGATCAATGTTCTGCTTTAGGATTCCACGGGCGTTATATGTATTGATGGTTTTTCGGGATCTGCTCGTGTTGTCGGTTTTTGGTTCTTAAAGGAACCGAATGTCTGACGACGTTTCGGTACAATCTCATGTACCCTCTTTAAGTCTTATCTGCTGGGCTGCTGTTGCTGTTCTGCTGCTTTAGGTTTCGACTGGCATTATATGTATGAACCCGCAGCAACAGCAGCCCAGCGGATAGGACCTGAAGATGGTACATGAGATTGTACCGAAACGTCGTCAGACATATATAACCGTATACCGTATACGGTTCTTTTAAACCGACAACACGGAGCAGATATATATATATATATATATATATATATATATATATACGAGGGTTGCCTTTTATATTTCGGGAATAGAGAAAACAAACAACAATTATTCATCGTACATGGCTTTATTGTTTTTTAAAATATTCTCCATGAAGATCGACACACTTTTGCATGCACTTGAACCAATTTTCGAAGCATTTTTTTCACTCCGATTGAGGCACCTCCAAAACATGCATTTTGAACGCATCAACCGCTTCTAAAGACCCACACAGTCGACTGCTGTTTACTTTCAGGTTCACACGCATAGATCCATGATTCGTCACCTGTTACAATGTCATGAGCATGTTTTGAAGCACCGCCATCGTATTTTTTAAGCATTTCTTTTGACCACTAGACCCGAGACCTTTTTTGATCGATTCTCAAATTATGTGGGATCCAACGGTAACAATTTTTTCTGAAGGCCAAATGTTCATTTAATATTGAATGTATGCTGGTCCCACTAATGCCCAAGGATGACCCAATCTCACGATAGGTCACATGATGATCTTGCATTACCAGTTCACGCACAGCATCAATGTTTTTTGCAAGAACGAGTGATTTTGGACGACCTTCACGAAATTCGTCGGTGAGCGAACCACGCCCACGATTAAATTTGGAACACCACCGATATTCACTTGTTTTTTATGGCACTTTGTCGCCAAAAGTCAAATTAAGTTCATCGATGCATTATTGTTGGGATAATCCACGTTAAAGTTGTAAAAATTATAGCACGAAAATGTTCACGGGTCAATTCCATTTTTTTGGCCGACATTAATTTTTCAAGTGACTGTTAATAATACTAATTGTGCCCGCACGTTAAAACGTGTTAAGTAAAAACACCGTCTAGAAGGTCGAACTTAAGGATACAGACATCTGTTGTCCGATAGCATCAGCAGGTTCGGCCATTCCCGAAATATAAAAGGCAACCCTCGTATAGCGAATTGCTGTGGTCATTTTTACTAGAACACATTTTAAGCTTACTGTTGTGCATTAATTTATAAAAAAACACATATAAGTGTATATTCCACAACGACTACATACGCGATTTTAATTTTTCTTGCAAAGTAAAGCTAATAATATCACTATTTAAAAAAAAAGTTTGGAAGATTATATATTTTTTAAGTTGAAAACGCTAAATGTACCAACATGAGGGGTATGTAATGGCCCCACGTGTAAGATGGGTCCGGTGATCCTTCCCCGAGAAATTAAAAAAAAAACAGCAGTAAATTGTTAGTTTTTAAGCATTTTTAGTCTATTTTCATTTGAAAGAATTGGATTTCCTAAAAGATTTATTGTTAATTACTTTAATTAATAGACAAAACATTTGTAAAGTATCTTTTACATACAACTCAAGAGTAGGCCTATTTTTAATTGATTGAGTGTTCTGCCTGATCCTTTATTATGTAAGTAAAAATGAAGCAAACAATACAAAGCTTTACTGAATGTCATCATCACAGGTTATTTTTATACAAAATAAAGTCTTCTGTTTTGGCTTAAATTAAAGTCGTTAATTACTTTGGAAAAGTCTATACTTATCAACACTCCTTTCATTAGCCTAGGTCTTGTTTTTTTACCAGAAATAGTGTTTTTTTTGGTGAATAAATGTATTAAGTAATAGGTTATAATTATATTAATTTAGTAAATTATTTATCAAAACTGTCGTGTGTTGCTTTTAATTTAAAGGACAATAAAGGTTACATTATACAAAAGATAAAAAAATACTTTATTTATTAAATTATATTACCCTTACAATACGCGGTTTGAATAAATTTGAGCTATAAGACTGTTTACGTTTTAAGTGTTAATAACAGTGTTATTAAATACCTTCTCTTATGTACAGTTGGTCTCTAGATACTTCACGGTTGTGTCTGTATAGTCGTTTGGGTTCTCCTCTCTCGGAACCCCTTTCTATTTCATGTCTTCGTAAGGATTCAGCTTCCGGATCGACCATGGCTTGATCCGGAGTCCAGGCTTCTTTTCTACCAAACCATTCTGCCACCTGAACCGATTTACTCTCACGACCATTTCCTAAGATTACAACAAGTTAATACAATCAAATTATAAATTACTAAACGTTAGGTCACAACACATCGTTAGTTAACCTTAAAGCCTGATTTATAGATTGCCTTCCTTCCTTACTTCCTTCCTTCCGCACGTAGAAGATGAACAATATAATCCCTTACGGGAATCTATAAACGGCACTACGTTTTTCGTATTGTTCATCTTTTACGGGAGGAAGGGAGTACGGAAGGAAGACAATCTATAACTCAGGATTAAGTCTGTTTTACTTGAATGTCAGAGTGTCAGCAGTGCTGACTCAGCACAGATTATAAAGAAAGTGTCAGAACCAACATTGTAGAAAAGGGGGTATTATCGCAAAAGTTCTATAAATGTTTTGCAATTATTTAAATCTATAAGTCTAAGGATTTGTGGCTTTAGTTTAATATGCAAGAATTAATAATAATGAAGTCCCCTTTTATTCTTTGTATTATTTGAATCATTCTAGGTAGGAATGTTGTGAATAAGATTAAATAAAAAATATGAGTTTAATTCTATTTCTTAGGATCATTACCTGATCCCTTGACAAGTTTCTGTATATCCCCAGTGCTGATCTTTCGTCTTTTGGGCGGTATATAGAACGGACAAGGTCTGCATATGCAGCAGAAAATTAATATGATAGCCGCAATGATTGCGAGCACAATTAAAAGAATTAACAGCCACAGCAGGTCCGCGCCAGATGATTGTTTGATTGTCGTCGTAGACGTCTCGGATTTGTAATTTGTGGAGTCTGTGCGCTTGATCGTGCTCTCATTATCCAATATCTGCTTTATTCTGTTTACGTCGATTACGCCGGCATTCGTTACTGTGGCCTCCACCACGCTCCTGCAACAAAGTAATGCACTTATTGGATGACACTGACTGACTCTTGATTAATCAATTATAAAGTGTCTGCTTGTTCTACCTATATCTAGCTGAGCCATAAGTTCTCCCTCAAAATACACACAACGTCAAAACCCTTAAACTCCCCCCGTATAATATAAACACAAACTAATATTAATACAGCTTGTTCAGAGTAAAACCGAATATATCTATATATATGGGGCGTGACCTCGCCTCCCTCCAAGGCGCGTCACAGTAGCTTGTGTGATAAACGACATGACAAAAGGTCGAGCAGGTAAGGACTTAAAAAATTAAATGATAATAATGCAAAAAATCTCATTAGCGATGCAGGCTATTTGCTTAGCTACTGTGTCGCGCGTTGGAGGGAGGCAAGGCCACGCCCCATATATATATAGATATATTCGGTTTTATTCTGAACGGGCTGTATAACGTTTTTATAGAAATGATCGCATGCAAATTGCAGTTTTTGTCATCTTGCAAAAACGTTTAATAATGTTTTGGTCTACTTTTAACACAGCATTGATAATATTACAATTTGTCAGTCTGGTGTAATTCGCGACCAAAATAATTTGTACCTACTTGTCGAAAAATGCCTGGAAATCAAATTTTTGATTTTGATAGAGCAAGGATAATCCCCTTACATCAACAGGGTTGGTTAAATCACTGAATTTCAACGACACTTGCCATACCTAGATGATCGCACTATTCTGAACAGATGATCCAGGCTAGATCATCTGTTCAGAATAGTGCGATTATTCCAAGAGAGTGGAAATGTGCATAGAAGACCAGGTGGTGGACGTCGAAGAGTAACAAATGCAAGAGAGAATCGTTACATAGACAATTTTATACAACGCAACCGCAACGTTACTGGGGTAAATTTTCGTTAAATGTACATTTGCTGTCTTCAGCTAATTTAATTTTTATTTTTGACTTTTGTTGATAAGTTTTATATTTATTATATTTAAATACCCCCTTCCATCGTATTTTTTTAATTACTTTGTTTTTCTATATATCGTCACCTAAGAATTATAGTGTTCTATCTGCATTTTTTTTTAAATTAAGGTTAGTCTTGTTTTAAATCTTATAGACTATAGACTTAAAACAAGACTAACCTTAATTTAAAAAAAAATGCAGATAGAACACTATAATTCTCAGGTGATATGTCAGAAAAACAAGGTGAAATGTCCCAGAGGCGATTTTTTAATTTAAATTATTATATTCTTCTTCTTTGCATCTTTCTTCTAAAAAAATAAATTAAACTGCAGTTTTAGTGATTTTTTACAATTTTCAAAGCTTTCAAACATACGAATTTTTCAATTAAAAAAAATAATCCTGGTATAGATTCTTTGGGAAATTTTATGCTCTACAAGAATTCGCGACGTAAAAAATTTTATCTCAAACGGTTCAAAAGTTATAGTCTTTTTAATGAAAAAAGATTTTTTTACGTGTTATTTCAATGGAAAACTTAGAATGCTCACCGACACCTTTTAAAATTGAGCAAAAAATTTTGCCTTGCAGGGAAATTTTTTTCTCGGTATGTAGGTTCATTTTAACCCATAAATCCGATAGGTTAGTTTTTTTGGCTCACCCTAATATACATGAAGAAGTCCGAAATTAATAGGGGAAATTGACAAAACCTGCCCATTAAATTGCTTTTAGGTCTTGTTTTTTCACCACCAGCGGTGCTGATTGTTGATGCGTACTCAGGGCCGTTTCTGGCGAGCGTGCAGTGCATGCACGCACGCAGGCGCAACATTTTGGGGGCGCAAAATCAAAGAGTCAATCGCTACTTCGTAACGATAAACTTTTTTGCAAATAAACAAATACTTAAACATACATAGGATAAAGGTTCCCGCTATTTGTTTCGGCCGCTATAAAGCGCGTTTTGCCGCTTTAATATTAGCGAATTTTTTCTTGATATAAGTAAAATAAAAGGAAAGAAATTGTCATAATATTTTTAGTATTTATTTGATAGTTGGAGTTGACGGTAGAAAAGTTTAACAGTAGTCTACACAGTGCATGACTTTACTAGGTACTCTCTAAAAATGAATTAGTCAAAAATGACCAATTGTTATAGCGAAAAAGCAGCCACTAATAACACTGTAGGTAAATTTTCAAGTCTTGAAATATCACAGCTAAACGCTCGGACACGTTTTAGCTGTATCAGGTCTAAAAAAGTTTTTCCTATAGGAAATCCGATCCGGAGACACACTGTATACTGGTATATTATAATTTGTATAATAATACCTGTCACCTCTTGTGCAAACATTTCTATGCTTTTTATTTTATTTAATATAATATCCTCAATTTTACTCAAAAAAAAAAATAGCAAAAAAAAATTTGAATTTCCTAAATTATCGTAAGTATATCATAGTATATCATAGTATATCATAAGGGCATCTAATTTTTCCGAAAAAAATCTACGAGCAAAAATTAAGTTTACGTGTCCGAGCGTTTAGTTGTGATATTTTCACCTCCCTACAGTGTAATTATCGTCAACAGCAATTTGAATCCAGGACATTTAGCAGTCAACTTCTATGTCAAATTGTCCGCTGAATCCGAAAATGTCGTCAAAAGTTATAAAAGTATATAGAACAGTTTTTGAGATATAGTTAAATTTCCATATTATATGTAATATATTATATACAGGGTGTCCCGAAATTAGGGGGCCAAACTTAAACAGTGCATTCTTCATAGAAAAGTAACACTTTTTTGTTAAATAAACATGTATCAAAAAATGCCCCCTAACGGAGCTACGGCCCCCTGAATAGGATCTCAAGAGAATAGTTTTTTTAAAACTATTCCTAGAGCGTTAAACATGAAGAAATGAAATTTTGGCACTTTGGTAATTTTTAGATGCTGAATCAAGATCTAAGATCAAAACTGTTAAAATTTAATCATAGGCGTAAAATTTGGGGGGGAAAAGTTATAAAAATAGCCCCAACTTTTTTCCGAGATAATATTTTAATTTTTTTTATGAAATTATGAAAACTTATAGTTTTTTAAGAAAAATAGGTAGTCTTAATTTGAATCGCTCAGATGCACCAGTTTCGAGAAAAATGCATTTATAAATTACTCATACACATCTCATATTTTCGTTAAAATTTTGTGTTAAAATTTGGAAAATTGCTCCATAATAAAAAATAAAAAAAATCTAGCCAAAAAATATTAACTAAACTATAAAAATAAATGTAAAGTCAGCAAATAACCCAAACTTCACTTTTGTCCCAAAGCTTTTTAATGAAAATATTGGAAATTATGCTAAGCATACTAATTTAAATTGCAATTTTCTCGAAAATGGTGCATCTGAGCGATTCAAAGCAAGAGTACCTATTTTTCGTGAAAAACTATACATTTTCATAATTTTATAACAAAACATTAAAATACTCACTCCGCAAAAAGTTGGGGCTGTTTTTGTAAATTTGCCCCCTCAAATGTTACGCCTATGATTAAATTTTAACAGTTTTGATTATAGATCCAGATTCAGAATGTCAAAAATACCAAAGTCCCCAAAATTCATGTCTTCGTGTTCAACCCTCTAGGAATAGTTTTAAAAAAAAGCTGCTCTTAAGCTCCTATTTAGGGGGGCGTAGCTCCGTTAGGGGGCATTTTTTTATATATGTTTATTAAACAAAAAAAGTCTTATTTTTCTATAAAGAATGCACTGTTTAAGTTTGGCCCCCTAATTTCGGGACACCCTGTATATATATATATATACAGGGTGAGTCGGGAGGAACGGACCAAACAGAAGTGTATTATACACATGAAAATAATGTAAAAACACTCATATGTTCTTATCCGATTTTTATTTGTTTTCAAATTATAGCACAAAACAAAAGTTCATACATTAACGTTATTTTAATCATAGCGTTCTTTTAATAAATGTTCGAAAATGTAGCCATTGACCTCTAAACATTTTCTGCTTCGTCTACGAAGAGTGCCTGTTGCTCTCCTAATTGATTGACGTCTGTCTTCTTTAATAACGGCTGCAGTATTTTGAATACGTCGAATTAGGGCATCACGAGTGTCCACTTTTACTTTATAAACCTCATTTTTAAACCAGCCCCATAAACAATAGTCTAGTAGTGTGAGGTCTGGGGATCTTGGAGGCCAATTTATAGGACCACAACGCCCTGGAAATCTTTCGTCCAAATGTTGCTTAACGTGACGGGCGAAATGTGCAGGAGCTTCATCGTGCTAGTAGTGGTGGTCCTATTAATTGGCCTCCAAGATCCCAGACCTCACACCACTAGACTATTGTAGACGAAGCAGAAAATGTTTAGAGGTCAATGGGTATATTTTCGAACTTATGTTCTGTGTTTTCGAACATTTATTAACAGAACGCTATGATTAAAATAACGTTAATGTATGAACTTTTGTTTTGCGCTATAATTTGAAAACAAACAAAAATCGGATAAGAACATATGAGTTTTTTTACATTATTTTCATGTGTATAATACACAATATATATATATATATATATATTATATTGTATATATACGATATCTCAAAAATTGCTCTACTTTCATAATTTTTGACGGTCTTTTCGGATTCAGGGTACAATTTTACATAATAATAAGATGTTAAATGTCCAGGATAAAAATTGCTGTGGACTACAGTTATTAGTGACTGCTCTTTCACTTTAGTCATTTTTCACTAATTCATTTTTAGAGAGTACGTCACTAAAAACCAGTTGTAGTTATTATATTGTTTATAAAGTTTTTTTAGAGTATTTTTATTACTATCTATTTTTTGTGATTTTGTTTGTTTGGTAATTTAATAAATATTTTTTATACTTAATTTTAGCAGTTTTTTTACATTTTCAATTACATTTTGCCAGTTTATTGCAAAATATATATTTTTAAAATTTTAGGACTTAAATTAAAATATTTAATGTATTATATTTAAATATAAAAGGGGCGCACCAATGAATGCTGAACGTAGGCGCCAGACACCCCAGGAACGGGCCTGTGCGTACTGACGTCTGATGTTTTGGTAGAGTTTCAGTACAAACAAATATCAACAGAACACCAGCGCCCTCTTATTTTAGGAAGATATTCGTATACACGAAGTTCGGACTCCTTGTGTAGGCTCTACGATAAAATGGTTGATAGATTTTTTCTAACAGTCCTTGTCAGAAAACCCAAACCCAAACTTTTTATTTTTAAAAGCATATTCAAAAATTGTCTTTAATCCTTCTAAAAATTTAAATAAAGAAAATAAAATTTAATTTTTATACCCTTGTAATTTAAAAACCATTTGTCAGAATCTTTTTTAATAGGTACTTAAAATAACCCCTTTTCTCACTTTAGGTTGCTGTTAAAAACAAAAAAAAACGATAAATTTGATATTTTAGTAAAATGGGGTTAAAATACTCAAATAATGTTCTCTCTGTTTAAAAGGCTTAAACTGTGAACAGAGCGTTTTTCTGGTAAAAATGATTTAGCGACCTCTAATTATTTTTTTTAAATCTAAAAAAATTTATGGTGACTTTTTTAATAAAAACACACATAATTTCACTTTAGCGTTAAAAAAATCCATGAGTAAATAAAAAAAATACTAAAAAATAATCATAAAATTTTCTATGTTCTGGACAGATGGGCCAATTTTGTGGCACTCGTGATAGCACTTTAAACCTTCCTCGTGACTTTTTATATATTTTATTTAATTTTTTATAAACAAATCAAAAGGGAACATGTTAAAATACAGCTCTTTAAAGATTAATTTTATTATAGTATATTAAAGAACTAATGTCATAAGACATCATTTTGTCGCACGCGGACAATTTATAAAACGAGCGACGAAGGAGCGAGTTTTGTAATGGACGGGAGGTCTTCTTCGCTAGAACTCATTTTCAAAACGTAGGAAGAATTTATGATAAACAACCTGACAGCTTATAACAACTGTTATGTACCAAAAATACCATAGCAACAAAGCGTTGTCAACATAACGTCGGCGACGCAACACCCACTTAATATTTTGTCATAATAATATGACCCCATACCGGGTTGGTAAAAGGAACCAGAACGCTTGAAAACCGTTAAAAGATAACAGAAAAAACCATATACATACCTCAGGAAGAAAATACGTTTCCTCCCTTGAATATTTAATGCCCTCTGCTTCGAGTCGGGCATCAAACTATTCGCGGTAGGAAAAGCACTATTTTCCTCCCATGGTATGTAAATAGATATTGCATAGTGGAGATATTTTATCGCGTTTCAAGACTCCTAACTTAACAACTTTTAATTTTTTTTTAGGAGACATAAACAAATCACGATAGGTAGTCCACTTAAAAGTTCGACTTTATGAATAAGTATGTCTAAATATTGATTTTATAAAGAAGATTAGACTTACCTACTCGGATCATCATCTTCGTTATCATATCTAGAAACATCAGTAGCTCCCTCTTCAAACCCGGTATAAGGCCTAACATTGTGTATCTCTACTTTACCTCCAGTTAGCGCTTTTAACGTATCCAAAACTTTTCTCCTATCAGGATTTCTACCAGATACGATAAACAACATCTTCCTTGAATTGGCTTCCGTAGGGTAAATCTTAACTTTCCCCTCGCTCGCCAATCTTGGAACACCTCCATCCCAAGCTCTGATATTCACAGTAATTGGTTCGTTATATTTCCAACGGTTGGTCAGCTCCAACTCCCCGGTTCTTTCATTGATAACTAAACCGTCCACCGGTGTAGGCAGCTCGTAGTGTATTTCATTGTTTGGCGGACTTATATCGTTGTCAATGGCTTTGACAAACGCGTTTGTCGTAAAGGCAGTTTGGTCTTCATTCAAAATAAATTCGTAGAAGTCTTTTTCGAATGTAGGAACTTGGTCGTTTATATCCACAAGGGTTATTTCTACTGTAGCCGTGGTTTTTAGTCCTTGCCCATCTTCGTCGGCTGCTTCTACTGTCAGGGTTATAACTGGGGTATTTTCAGCGTCGAGGCCTTGTGAGTTGGCCACACTGATAATGCCTGTTTCAGGGTCCAGTGCAAATAAAAAACTTCCAGTTAAACCGGTGTATCTAATTTTATTACCAGGTTCTCTGTCAACATCGCTTGCTTCCACTCTTAGTACTGTAGTACCTATATTGGCATTTTCCTGTACAAACCCTTTGTAAACTACATCTGTAAATTCCGGTGCATTATCATTAACATCATTCAAATGCACCGTTAATTTAGCCCTTGATGTGTTATTACCATTATTAATCTCCCTTGCTACTATATAACAACTAACAGATCGCCATTTCTCATAATCCAACAATTTAGGATCATGAACCTTAACACTAAACTTAGAATAACCCTCCACTACCCCAGGAGTAACATCGAAAGTTCCATTGCATTTATCCAACTGTAATGTTATAACATCACCAATCTCAGTATGCACCTCGGCCTGTACTAAATCTAATGTGGTTCCAATGGAGGGATTTTCATCTAGAAGAGCATTGTATTCTATGGAACCAAAGGTTGGTATGCCTCCAGTGACGCCTGGCGGTATGAGGGCCAACCTTACCGAAGATTGTTGCGCCGGAGGTTCGTTTGGGTGGGTTCTTTCTTCTTCCGCGACAACTGTTAGGATGATTGGTTGCCCATTTCTGGAGGCTGTTATTATATTTGAAATCGGCTGTTGCAATATGACTTCACCTAAAATTATATTTCTTTTAATATTCCATAAATCTTGTATGTTGCTTAATTATGTGGCTTGGAATAGAAAGGGCGGATGTCCAAGCATTTTCTAGAGTTTAATTTGAGGGTCTTTTTATTTTAAAAAGCCCGAAGTCCGTATATTTTACGGTTTATGAGTTAGTTATACTTATTATTTAATAAAAAAGTTATACTTATTATATAATAAAAAAGTCATAAGTGAAAATCTAAACTTTTATAAAAAAGACACCAAATAAAAGTAAGGCTTATATTTGCAATTGAAAATTTGTGACACCCGCCCTTTCTATTCCAAGTCACAGAATTACTCTAATTCAAAAATTAAAACATTATATAGGTTCTGATAGTGGGCACTTTTCCGGTCAAACATTTTGGAACACAATCGAGAACTTTTCCTTGAATATGGGCCTTTTGACGGAAACACAGAGAATTAAAGTTTTAATTCTCATAGGATGTGGCATAAAACTAGAACACAACAAGAAGTTTGCAATTTATTTAATGCAAAGTATCCATCTCGACTCGTGCTACGGTTAGTAAAATTGAACGGAAATTTAGAGAGACTGGACATGTCAAAGATATATATATATATATATTCCAAAACCTGGCCGTCCGAGTATTAAAAACACTAAAATTGACATTTTGTTACGTGTGCCCTGACGAATTCACTAAACGCAAATTAACGTTAAGTACAAGTATCACCCATAATTAACTCAAAATTAACGTTGATTTTGGGTCAAAATCTCGTTTCTTAACGCAAATTCAACGTAATTATTTGCAGTTTTGTGCCGATTTACGATTTTGTGTTAAGTTTGAGTTTATTTTTCGTTGAATTTTAGTTGAAGTTTCCGTTGAATTTGCATTGAATTTACGTCAACTTTAAGTTACGTTTGCGTTAAATATAGGTTGCGTTAACTTTAGGTCTACTTTAAGTTAAGTATGCGTTGAATTTGCGTCAACTTTGAGATATGTTTGCATTTAATTTGGGTCAGTTTTCCGTTAACTTCTGAGTCTACTTTAAGTTAAGTTTCGATTCATTTAACGTAAAATTTGTGACAAAATTTTGATAATTACTTTTTATAATTTATTTTTATATGCTTTTGATTTAAATCATTTATGTCTAACTAAAAAAACTTAAATCTAATACAGTGATGTTGACTTTAAATAAAAAATCAAAATTAACGTAAACTCAACGCAAACCGAACGCAAATATTAGACAATAAATTTTTATAAAATTAATTTAATTGAAGACATAAGTGGATAAAGGTGTTATGTGACATTTGAGGTAGTAAAATAGAGAAGATATTTAAATTTTATTTTTGCATAAAAAACAGTTTGGTGGATACTTTTAAGTTTTTAAATTATAATAATATTTAAAAAAAACTTATTTTGGTAGTTCCTGTAAGTTTAAAAATAATAGAGAAAAGTATTACTATATAAAGGTGTTATGTCACATTTTAAGTAAAAAAGGACAAACAATGTTCATAGTATAGTAACTTAAGTTTTTCAAATTAAAAAGTCTGTTTTTAAAAACTTTATTTTCAACTTAAAACATAAGATGATATTTATTATACAGAAGCAAGAATCAGAATGTTACATTATTGTGTTTTACATATATTTATAACTTAATTTTATCTAACATGAGCTTTCCAAGAAATGATACAAGACTCTCTGAGATCTGCAGACTATACAATTTACTAGCTTAGGATGCGTTCATAACTCCTCCCACCTTAAGAGGAAACATAAAGGGGAGCTTCATGTTTTCGTGGTTATTTTCTGAAACTTCAGGGGTTGTTTTCTTGACGTACCATTTTATATAAAGAAATATAATGATTGCTGTAGTGATGAGTAGTGCAAGGGTAGTTGAGATGCTCCAAGTTGCGGGGTGAATTTCGTATTTTAAAGTTGATTTTGACCATTGAAGTTCTTGTTGTAGATTTCTGATTTTGTCCATATTGATTGAATGTAGTACCATTGAATTTTCGGTAATTTCCATTGATGATTGGTTGTTTATTCGAATTTCTGGAAGTTTTAGTGGTTTTACTGCAATTATTTCTTCTTTGTTCCAATAAATTGATTTGTTGACTTGTACACTACAGTTGTAAGGAATTTTTACTAAACTGGGTTCTTCTATAAGTGCGTGTTCATGGTTTACGCACTGTCGTTGAATTTTAATTGATTTTGTACCAGGAATCATAATGACGTATTCTTTTGTAATTTCTTCTATTATTGGGTGGATGACTTTAACTGGAACTTTCTGGCAGTTAATAGCTTCAGCTTCATTGATGAGGGTAGCGATACAATCTCCAACTACAGTTTTCAATTTCGGGACAGGGTTCTTCGATGTATTGTTGCTCGTTGGTGCCAAGTATAAGGTATGGAAGTTTGGGTAAAATTACATTGTTTTGGATTGGAACTGGGAAAAGGCGGTAGCTTTCAAAGGTTTCAGGTTTAAATATTGGAAAGTGTATAGCGAAAATTAGTTTATCGTTTGAAAATGAAATTTGCAAACTTGCGAAATTGTAATATAAGAAGGTATTTTTAAGAATCATTATTTTAGATTCACCATATATTTTTATTAAATTATTTATTAAAATATTCATATCATTGATAGGTATAACTGAACTATGTAAGGTACCGTAAATACGGGTGACTTTGCACCCCGCGGGTGACTTTAACCCATTTATGAAAAATCTTTTCGCGCTCGATAAAATTAACATTTATAATTTGTTGGTCTAAACCTGTCAATTGAGCGATTCTATTGAGTTTATATTACAGGAAAATCAGTGTTTTGAAGAAAGAAATGGGATTTATTACACTTCAAAATTGTATATATCGTATCAGTGCAAAACTATTAGAAATACACGCGTTACAATTTCTATATTATGCGCAATCCATTGGAATGATGATCCTTGGTTAACTACAGGTCGATTTTTTATTTTTTTTATTGGTAATCCCTTGCAATAGATATATGTCGCTGCTAACACGTGTCTAATAAAAATAAAATATAATATTACATTTATTTTATACTGAAAAAACACTGTGAGACAAAGTAACCCGCAACCAGGGGGTAACTTTGCACCAGTGGCGTAGCTAGGCGTAGGCGAAGTGGGCCCTCGCCCACGGCCTCGCACTTAAAGGGGCCTCGCGAGGCCCCTTTAAGTACGATGCCATCAGACTTCAAATCCCCGTTTATTTTTAAATTAAATAAAAACCTAAAAAATATGTAAATTTAAGATCCTTATATACTAATAATTAATCAATTTTAATCGATTACAATCACAGAAATAGTGATTACAATGGATTTCACTTTAATACGCCACCTATTAGGACTCTAAACAAATACCAAGTTGTGGCCTACAACTTGTAGGTAATGTAGATATCACCTTTCGCGATTTAAATAACTGTCATTTAATTTGCTATATGTGTTTTAGAACATTTGAGGAGCATCCGTGCAAAACCGGCATTTTTTGTTTTTTTTTTGATTTCGCATCTTTGGGTTCATTTCTATCGACAACCAAGATAATTCTGTTTAAATCCGACTATAACCATGTTAAAATCACATTTAAAAGGTAGCTTTAGGAGCAAAGCCGGCCAAATCCACGTTTTTATAGCAAACCCGGCTATATCCAATAAATAATGATGATGATGAGCATGTGACTTGGATATGTCGATACTACTACTAAAATTTGTTCTGTTTTTTCATGTTTGCACTAAATTTATTTTGTTAATATTTTTGAATAATAAAGGTTTTTTTCACATTTTATTCGGTTTTTGAGCAAAATCGGCTATATCCAAAACATTTTTTTAAATTTTGGCCTTAATATAAAGTTTTTGAAAACGAATGTATGTCTTATAAATCAAGTACCACAAAGCCCCCAAAAACTCAAGTTTGCTTTTTTTTTTTATCTGTAAAGGCCAGGAAACCGAGAGTTTTTGCCATTTTCCCAACATTTTATTAAAGTGGATATAGCCGGTTTTGCACGGATGCTCCTCATTTATGATTGTTCCTTAATTATTATTTAAGTTTAGTTATGTAAGTAAAGTAGAATTAAACAGTTAATCGAATAGTGTGTGCATCATTTGCCGAATAAAAGGGCCACATTCGTTTGGTTTAATAATTTGTCCCGCTTTTCATAAATTAAATCTGTTATTAATAATGCGATTTTCTTTAAATTTGGGTGGTGATTGTATGCTGAAGAAATGAAATATTTGCCATAGTAAGTTTTTTTATTTATCATTGGCCTACGGTTTTAGGGGGTCGATTTTTCGGCAAAAGGATATTAGGGCTTATTTTAGATAAATTTTTTAATCCTTTATAGATTCAGCATCCCCAAAAACCCTTTAATCCATATTCTTAAAATCTTAAAGAAATTTTATTTGCTGAATATGATTAAAAAAGTTTTTACCCCCTAACACCGTACGCCAATAATAAATAAAAAATTTAACTATGGAAAATATTAAGTGTCTCCAACATACAATCACCACCCAAATTTAAAGAAAATCGCATTATTAATAACTGAGATACTGTATACAGGGTGTTTCAGAATAAGATGCTGAACCTTAAGGGTGTGAATCCTTAGTTGATTTTAAGAAAAAATTTCAAATAAACCTATGACCTAAACCTCTTAATTTTTAAGTTACAGGGTGTTAAAGTTTTAAGAAAAAAATCGTTTTTTTATCATAACTTTAATAACTTCTTAAGGTCGTATTACAGCCGGCAATTCTTTCGGCAATTGCAATGAAAATTGCCGTAGGCATGCGCGGTAGATACATTTCGACGAATCTCTTGCAATTGCCGAAAATCGGTCCGGATGGATTTTTATTGCCGTTTTACGGCAATTCTGGGGTGAAATCTGGTAACTTTTATGTTACCAACCCTCCTACAAATTCCCTAGACAGACGCTGTTTGACTTAAACAGTTTAAGGTTATTTGTTTTATGATTGGCATTGTGTTCAAAGTTCTAGTATCCATTTCACTCATT